ACATAAAATCAAAGATTTGCATGCCATGCATATATCTTAAAACATGAAAACCAAAAACTAAGTATCTTCGCCGTACAAACGCTCTATGGTGTTGGCATATTTTTGACAAATAAATCTTCGTCTAGACTTGAGTGTAGGACCTGAAAAGTGAAAAAATGAAATTAGCCAATTTTTACTGCAAAGCTATCCCTACCCAATTCGCCAGTACGCAATGTAAAGTCATGTGGCAGCAGTGCGAATTTCTGCACTCTCTGCGCATGCGAAATCGCATTTTTGTTGGCTCTTGCAAGGCCGCTTTCAATAGCTTCAACAATCCGCTGTGCTGGCTTCGGAATCGCACCTTTGTAATCATAATTTTCTTCAAAAGCTGGTACTCTCAGCACTGCCGATAAACAAGCATAACTCAAACCCAGCTTGTGTAACCAAGCGATAGCGTCCGGATGCAGTGTGTCAGTTGGTAGACCCGTTTCGCCGTCAATATTGGTCTAAGTAAATGAAATTTTAAAAATTATAAATTCATGAAATTCAAATTTATTAGCCAGAACACACCTTCAGCGTGAGAAGCACAGTTAAATATTTCCGCTTATCCCCCACCACCAAAGCATTGCTTATGCAAGGCAACTCAGCTTTGATGAGATTTTCTATAAAAATCGGCGGTATATTCACGCCACCTGCTGTAATAATTATCTCTTTTATGCGTCCGGTAATAATGAGGCAGCCATCACTGCATAGACGTCCGACATCGCCAGTACGCAACCAACCCTCTGCGTCTATGGTCTCGCTAGTCTTCTGCGGCTCATTGAGGTAGCCCATCATGTGGCATCGGCTATGTAAGCAGATCTGTGGAAATTTCATAAATAAAATCAAATATTCCATGATAAGCAGAAGCTATTACCTCGCCTTCGCCCTCCTTATTTGGCTTATCGATTTTTATTTGCATGCCATGCATTGCTCTGCCACAGCTATTCAAATGACAATAACCACGGGTCAATGTTATAGCGCCACCAGCTTCGGATGCACCCAACATATCGGCAATTGGTATGTTCATGCTTAGGAAGAACTTTTTAGTTTCCGTTGAGAGTGGTGCGCCTCCAACCCAGAAATGATCACAACGTTCGAGGCCCAGTTGAGCTTTAAATGGCTGCATGAGCAGTGAAGCCAGCATATAAGCGATTGTAGGCTTTGGTTTTCTGTAAAAAATTTAAGTAAAAAAAAAAATTATGATCAATCTAATCACGTCCAAAAGACGCACATTCCTTCCGCGTTTTTCCTATAGCAATTCAGTAATTGTCTCTTCGCCCAAGCTGTAACAAAACGCCACCAAAAGGACGAGTTTTCTTCGGCTTCCTTGAGCTGTTGTTGTAATTTTTCATATACTCTAGGTACGCCAAAAATTCTTGTAGGCCGCGCGATACGTAAAGTTTTCGTGAGTGATCCTTTAAGCGCACCCGAACCCGCAAAGTAGACACAATCTCCATTTAGTAGCGGCATCAAAACTTCAAAGAGTTGCGCAGCAATGTGATTTAGTGGCAAATAAGAAAGCGTAACGCCGGCACAATCCAACGGTTGTGCTAGCGTGACCAGACAATATTTGATATTTACGACGATAGAATCGTGAGAGAGCATAATGGCCTTGGGAAAGCCAGTTGTGCCGGACTGTAAGCCAAAAAACAGTTCAGTTAATACTAGAGCTAGAAAACATGTTAGATATCTAACCGTAAAAATAAGCAGCGCACACTGATTTGCCGCCACTTCTCGCTCTTGACGTATCAACGCTTGCTGGCAGTGCAAACCAAACGGCAACGCCATCAAATCCGACCAGCAATAGTAGCCCGCTTCTTGCGTCAAATCAGCTGCGCACAACCCATACAGCTGTATAACTGCCTTCAATCTTGGCAGCTTCGTTCTCACTTCCAACACCTTGGCCAACTGAATCGCATCCTGCATCACACATATTGTGGCCAGTGAGGTTTCTAGCGCATGCTGTACTGCCTCTGGCGAACTAGTCAAATAGATACCTGAGACCACGCCACCAGCACGCAATGCTCCCAATTGCACATAATACCATTCGGGACAATTTTCGGCCAGCACACACACGCTTGTGTTTGGAGTGAGGCCAACATGGATTAACGCGAGCGCAGCTTTTTCAACATTGAGTTCGTAGTCAGCGTATGTGACTGTCGTCCAGGTGCTGTTGGTGCTAGTATTGCTGGTGGCATGCTGTTGGTTTTCATAGACCAGCGCTGGCAACTGTGAAAAGCGCTGGCAGCACTCGCTGAAAAGCTGTGGAATTGTTTGTGGTGCGTCTGCTGTAACTCCTTCTTTTCCAATGCGTAGACGCACAGGTTCGGAAACGTTGGTTGTTGTATAGTTAGTGGCTGACTTAAGGTTGTTGGACGCTGTATAGTCTTTGAGTTTGCGCTGCATTCTTCTTTTTATTTTAATTGTTTTTTTTCAAAAAAAAGAAAGAGGTAGAGTTGAACTTTTGGAAATGAGATTGTTATAAAAATATGAAAAAACGTCTTGTACTGATCCCCTCCTTTAAGTCAGGGTGACGTGCTTGCAAATCCGTTTTGATTTAAAATCCGCTATTGATTAAGAAATATATCTGATTTGTGATTTAGTTTGTTGACCAAAAAAGAAATTAAATTTATTTGTGATTTGATTGATCGACGAAAGAAAAAATCAAAGTGCCGCGATAGTGCCGAATAAAATTTATTTGTGATTTAATTTCTAGAGCGAATCAATTTTATTCGTGATTTTTTAACTAAATAATACTTTTTTTGTAACGGTAACGCAAGCACGATTTTCAAGTATTTTGCAACTTCCAGTTCTAAGCGAAATGGTGCTTAACATATTGTAACTTTGGAAATTGAATACAAAAAATATTAAGTCAGTTTCTTCGTCCGACTAACTAATTAATATATTTCGGGACTACTTTGGGATTGCCGGGACTATTTCGGGATTTTCGGAATCCTCGGGACTATATCGGGATCTTCAGGACTATTTCAGCATTATCTGCTTTTCTGGTATCTTCAGGACTACTTCGGGAGTTTCGGAACTATATTGAGCTTTTCGAGACTAATTTGAGATTTTCAGGTCCTTCGGGACTCCTTCGGGATTTTTTAGACTAATTCGGAGTTTTCGATAATGCTTCGAGATATTAAGGATTTTCGGGACAACATATATCGGAATCTTCGCACTACTGCGGGAGTTTCTAGACTCGAAATAGAAATTTTCGGGAATATTTAGAGATTTTTAGGATTTCTTGGATTCGATATTTTCGGGAATATTTAGGGATTTTTAGGATTTCTTGGATTTCCGGGACTACTTATTTAGGGTTTCATGCAACTTTCAATTCAGAAAGAAATTCCATTCATGGATTTGTGATTTGACTAATTCAAAATAATGCAACCCTGCTTTAAATAGGTCGTCGGCAAGCGGTTTAAATAATAGGTTCAATGCCCATAAGTTTTTAAAAGTGGTCTACATTTATGTAATAAACTATTTATTTTCAAACACTTATTTCCTTTGGGAAATCATATTCTATTCAAAGAAGTGATTCATTGATAATAGTTTCTAAGCATTGGGGGCGCCACTGCCACTCAGGTTACAATGCCTACGAAGCCAAAGGAAATGAATGACCACTCTCCTCACACGACGGTAGAAGTGTCGTAAACTATTTATTTAAAAAAATAAGTGTCTGCTGCACGACAATGCCGAACCCTATACGGTCATTGCCACGAAGCCACTCCTACATCGTACTTTTGAACCATCCCCCATTCTTCTGACCTGGCGCCAACAGATAACCATCTGTTCACTTTCCTACATATGTAGGTGGAAAAAAGAGTTTCAACGGACTAGGAAATTATCGGAAAATGTGTAGAAGTGGGTCACGGAGCTGGCGGGAGACTTTTTCGAGGCAGACATTAAAAAATGTATCTCCCGAAAAACCACCTGCATCGAAAAAGATGGCGACTATGTTGAAAAATAACCTACAAATATACAATTGAACTATGTAGTTTATTTTTTAATAAATTCATCTGAAGCCCACAAAAATGTAGGATACTTACTCTTGGAACGTGTCTCGTACCTTCAAAGTGAAAAAGAATCAAAAAATTGTGCAATCGGACCTAAATTATCAACTATGAGACGCACTCTACGGACTTTGCAGTAGTGAGGGCCGCAGAAATACGTTTTAATAAAAAAATTTAAGTGCTTTTTCATTACTACATTTTCAATAGTCATCTTAGTAGCTGAAGTTGTTAGTACCCATTGGCAGTATCTTACCGAGGTCTACTGTTTTCTGAAGTGCTCTTCATCTTTGACAATAGCTCTATCAGGCTAAGCCCCTTGCTGTCCTGGCTGTGTATTTGAATCCGCGTTAGCAGTTCTTGTAATTATTTATTCCGTGTGTTCGATTTATCAGCCAGATTGCATACTTTTCTTAGATTTAGTATTTCAGTAGACCAGCAATAGCGTCTAGTGCTTTCTTTCTCCTATACAGTCCGGGTAGGCATGAGTATCCCCACCGTTACTTTCGTCAGATTTTCAGATTGACCACCAACCAAGGTCTAATTGGTATCCTCTTCGTCGGATAATGTGGTGATTTAGTCTCTTTTTCTGACCTTCAATGGGTCACAGAGGTCGGGAAATTCGACCACCACGTCCACTAGGCAGACCTAGATGAAAATTTGTTCACCATGCCGTTAAATGGAGGGCAACTCGTCGTCAACGGGACGCTGTCCGCTGTCGCTTCAGTCGTTTGTGTGGATAGGTTTTGTTAGACATACACGCAAGTAGTACTTCGTTAAGAATTTTATCTTCTAGTCGACGCCGGCGAGCTACACATGTCGCCTATCTTTACTATCTTCCGCTTCCTTAAGCTGGGTAGGGGTCTTCTTGCTAAGCATGTTTCTATACACTTCCCATAGGCTTTCTGTTTACCTGCTCCCAGTTCTGCGGTAAGACCGTACTATTGTGGTAACTGCCACCTCCGTGAAGGTTACCTACCACCATTATTGACGTCATTCTCTTCTTGAGCTCAGCCTTTCACCCATTAGACCCATTAAACATTTAACCGCAATTTACAATGAACTAACGCAATTTTACTTACATGTTGTGGCGAGATAGACATACAGAAATCGCCCATACATAACTACTCATGTCAATTCATACACATATACGCATATTCGTTTATATGGAAATATTTCTCTCGCTAGCAGCTCGACTATGAGCACGCAACACCCCTTTACCTGCAGCTCGGACATATCAAACCAACAACAATCAAAAAGTTAGCCAGTTTACTTCCGCTTCTACAACTTCCTATTGGCTCTTGGCTGCTTTTCGCAGCAACAACACTATAATTTCCCCCCTTTTTTTGCTTTCTGTATTCGGTTAGATTTTTTTTTGGCAACACTATGCAAAATGTGAAATTTTATGTTCTTTGGCGGCATCGGCTGTCACTAGTACATCGGATGCTGCTGCTGCTGCTGCTGTTGGTTTTGTTGTTACTGTGTTTTTTGCCGTTTTTTGCATGCTCGGTTTTGCTGCTGTCTGTGGCTTCTCGCCTGTTACACATATTGGCACTTTTTGTTAAAATTTGCACAGATTTTTACTTAAATTATTTAATAAAAAGATTTTCAACAACGAATATTCATAATAAATAGTTTAGTTTTGCGATTCAACTTGAAAGTTTTTACTAAATAATAATTTAACAAAATTTTACTATTTTGCCGACTGTACTTTGCGCAAAAATATTATTGCATAAATTGTACAGTTATTTTGAAAGTTTCAAATGCATATACATATATAAGTTGCAAGTTTTTGCTGTTCGTTTTACTCCTAGAATGGCGTATACATACTTACATATGTATGCATAACTGTCGGGGAATACTGTGCGCCATGTTGGTGAAAATTCTTTCTTGCTAGCTGATTGCAATTTATTCACTTTTTTTTATTGTATTAGTGCGGTGTATTGTTTCCGAAGTGCGAGATATTAAAGCTCCGAACGTCCTTTCTTAAAGTTTAACACATTTGATTTTGTTAGCACAAATTTCCCTTGGATTGACTTTTATGCTAAGCATTTGAATGACTCCGATCATTTGTCAAGTTCGTTGCCGAAGTCTTCTGTTTACATAGTTCGCTTGATCTAATTTTGATCTGCTTTATTTTCGCAAACCTTTCTAAGTAGGATTAGTTGAGAAACCGTTTTGGTAGAAAGCAGCGTAAAGGAAGTGGTTGAAAACAAATTAAGAGTTAATTTTTATAGGTCTTCAAATTTTCTATTTTAATTATTACAACCTGAGATGCATTAGATAGATATTGAATATCTAATATAAGCTTAAAAGCGAGATAATGATAACAGATGCGGTTTTTAACCAAAAATTTTGAATATTTTTAATGCTGCTTTTTTGGAAGCAATGTATATTATATTATGGAAATGGTATCTACAAATATTTTAAACATTTTCTGCCACTTTTGAAGGCTAAACTTTTTTTCCTTTAAAAAAAGATATATATATATTGAAAAAACCAAAATTTTAAAAATGTTTTTTTTTTTTAGATTTGCACAGCAATTAAATGGCCCCTCACACAGAAAAAAAAAAATATATGTGTTGGTAGTAACAATTTAAAAATATTAATAAACATACGCGCTGGCAAGAGGTTAAAAAAAACACAGAAGTGGATTTTGACTTCGATTACAAAATTGCAAAACTTTGCGAATCGGGCAAGACTATTTGTATAAAAGTTGTTGTAGTAATATTGGAAATGTTTAAGATTAATTTTCTAAGTTTTCAAATGTAGAAAACTTTTCTGTTTAGTCAGCTGAATTATCTGACTTGACGTTACTAAAATTGCCATAGAAAAAGTTTTGATAATAATGTTATTGAAAGGATTTTTAACGGGAAGAAAACATGCATTTTATGTCGAACGTACTATTTATTTTGACAACAGTGCCACCAGCGCACAGTGCTTCCCTTCCATATAAAATGTGGGAAAAAAAAGAGTTATGGACGGATTTAAATGAAAATTCGCTTCTTAGTAAAATTGAGGACGCTAAGTGCAAAAATGCAATTTTTTTTTTTTTTGATAACTTGCATACGCAATTAGAAAATTTTGGTTCTTGTGGCTTTTACATAGGTATGTACATATAGTTCCTTCTATTTTCAAAAGTGAGGTGTCAAATGACATGGCTCGGCCTGTAGATGTGCAATAAAGTTTTTTATTTTTGAAAAGGATTGCCACCTGTTACCAATTTTATTAAAATTATTTAATAAGTTAAATGAATTAGATATTAAAATATAGGTATCGATTGAACTATTTTTGAAAATACTTTACTTCTAAGCGACAAGTAGAAGGGTTGCCACATGTTTAAATACGCAAATTCACTGTCATTAAAGGAATAAGGTAACTGAAATATGTATA